CACTTGAGTGATGCAGATTAATCTGCACCACCTTCATGCTGTTCAGCGGACCTGGAATTTATTATTTATTTACTAGATACATTTATTTACCTAGATACATAAGAGAAAAATCCATGAACATATATAAACATATAAACATTTACCTATGATTGTGCGAAGAGGCTTTCGAAGTTCCACCGTTCAGAATCCCAAATTAAAGACGTTAGGCAGTTCCTGACGCTTAAGTAGCCGCTGGCCCGAACAAGTAGAATACGCTTGGTACGAGACAAAATGGAGGCAAGTAAAAGCAACCCCAAAACTATCAGAAGACTACACGATAAAACACAACCGCTTATACCGGCACATACCAAGCCAAACGGATGAGGACGGCCAACCCTGGAAGCTGTGCGTGCCAAAACAAGAAAGGCATAGGGTACTAACGGAAAATCATACGAACCCAACAGCGGGCCACCTAGGGATACGACGCACAAAAGTAAGGGTCCGACAACGATATTTTTGGCCAGGGATAAACAGAGATGTAACGAAATTCATCCGCGCATGTGAAAGCTGCCAAAAATTCAAGATATCGCAACAAGCAGCGGCAGGAAAAATGCTCACAAAAATCGCGGATGCCCCGTGGAGAACATCACACGGGAACACAGTACTCATCGTATTCATCGACAAATTTTCGAAATGGGTAGAGGTTACACCAGCGAGGAAAGCGACCGCCGATATATTCATAAAAGCGTTCCGGGAGAAAATATTAGCTCGAGGAGGAACACCAAAGCAGCTGATCTCAGACAAGCAGAAAAACCAAACAGAACCATGGATAAATTCGACAAGAGCGCACGCAAGTTCAAGAAGCAGATGGAGGAAACCAAGGCGAAACAACGCAAGGTACAAGTGGTAGCAGCGCCACCACAACTAGGAGGAAGGATGAGGGTGTCCAGCACCAAAGTAGTGGCACCACATTGAGCCACGGAAGCCAGCGGGACCACATCCAGTCCACCGATAACTTCACTAGAGGCGGCCGGGAACGAAGGTCCCGGTCCCGGCCCGAAGAAACGGATCAGCTGGGCCAACACCACACGACCAGAACAAGCGCGACCGAGGGCTACCGAGCGGATCAGCTGGTCACGACAAGTCGAGCTGGCAGAAATCGACGAGGATATCTTGGACCTCGGAGGACCACCAGAGAGACGAGAACTAGAAGCACAGGGGCCCGACCAAACACCAACCACGTCAACGCAAGCCCAAACGCCACGACGAACAGCGGACACACAGACACCCAGCCGGGCAACAACACGGCCTCAACCAGCAAACACAAAGGCCGCCATACCCAGCGACTGGGTAGTACCCCCAGGGTGTAAGCTTAGCCAGAAACAAGTGACGACCGTCCAACGAGCGATAGACGACCGGAAGAATCACAGCCAAAGGAGATTCAAGCTATGGAGCGAATAGACACCAGACAGGGCATGCTGGGTCAAAATCGGGAGGTCGGGCGACGTACGACTCGGCGACTGGTTCAACGCAGCGGGGACATCCGGACGACCTACCCTAGAAGGGGAGGGGGGAGTGTGACGCCCAGCCCAGCAGCACCAAGCGTCACAATAACAGCAGCATATTCCTCAATATCATTTCATTGCAGTTAACATTTATAAACATTTACCTAGATACATAAGAGAAAAATCCATGAACATATATAAACATATAAACATTTACCTATGATTGAGCGAAGAGGCTTTCGAAGTTCCACCGTTCAGAATCCCAAATTAAAGACGTTAGGCAGTTCCAATTTCTTCTCGTATATATTTCGGGGTTGTTCTGGGCTTATATATATATGTATTTGTATCGCGTGCAAAACCGGCCGTTTGCTTGTGGGTGAAGAAGCGCATTAAATATCGGTGGTACTCAAGCTGCCGAGGGCTGTCGGAGGCGAGAGCGGGAGCGTGATCGTGAGCGTGGGCGGAAGCGCAAGCGTGGTGAATATGCGCTCGAGAGCGCGTCACCGGGGGAAAAAAGCTCCTAAGCGTGAGAGCGAGGGCAACAGCTTGCGTAGCTGGATTGCTAACAGTGGTATAGCTGGAATGCCCACAGAGCTGTTGCCCCGCCAGCGCCGTCCTCACTCTAAACATTCTCCCCCCCCTTGCAGGATTGCAAATACTCTATATGCTCCGATTTGGAAGCAAGGAGGTTGCTGCTGGATTCGGAATTCCTATGCCGGGGCGGCTCACAGGAAGACGAGGGCGCACATCGACGCTGTACGCTGAAGATGAAGGCGGCGGTGCCGCAGAGGAGCCAGATGGGCGCCGAGACTCGGGAAGGTGGAGTAACGTGTGGTGGCTCCGGTTACACACCTTACACCGTTCACCGCTTCGGCAATCGTGGCCGGAGTGTCGGTGAGCCAGGCAATTGGTGCAGTAGCTGAAGTGGAGGACAGCTTGGAGCCTCCTTTCGGAATCCAGGCGGAGAAAGCGGCGGCATTTCCGTAGAGGATGGATTTCAGAGCAGACTCGTGTAGTGTATTCATGCAGTGTGCTTGGCCTAACCAATTTAAGCACCACCCCAAGGCCAAGTTGCAATATGATGCAGTTTCGGCGGCGGTCATTGTCACTGCCCAAAAGTGATGCGTCTGCATCTAAACCGTGAGAACCTTACGTAACGGGCATTGGGCAGGTACCACCGCTGACCGAAAGCTGACGCCTCATATTGCATATTGACTGTGGGAACCTTACGCAACAGGGCTTTGTTTCCCACGATAGAACACCTGCATGGAGGCAACTCGCCCCAACGATTTTGTATAAATATAAGCTTCATTTAAATAAAAATCAATCATAACAATTATAACATCCAAGCGTACTACATGGCGATCCTGCCAGGAGCAATAAGAAGATTCCAGGAGGAATCAGAAGATTCCAGGAGACTAAGAAAATAATTTTGTATTGGCATCAGCGGCGTTTATCGCCAGATACCAGTACAAAAATAAATAAAATATACAAGGCTTGACCTTGTCACGTCCCAAAAACTGTCGGAGGCGAGAGCGGGAGCGTGATCGTGAGCGTGGGCGGAAGCGCAAGCGTGGTGAATATGCGCTCGAGAGCGCGTCACCGGGGGAAAAAAGCTCCTAAGCGTGAGAGCGAGGGCAACAGCTTGCGTAGCTGGATTGCTAACAGTGGTGTAGCTGGAATGCCCACAGAGCTGTTGCCCCGCCAGCGCCGTCCTCACTCTAAACATTCTCCCCCCCCTTGCAGGATTGCAAATACTCTATATGCTCCGATTTGGAAGCAAGGAGGTTGCTGCTGGATTCGGAATTCCTATGCCGGGGCGGCTCACAGGAAGACGAGGGCGCACATCGACGCTGTACGCTGAAGATGAAGGCGGCGGTGCCGCAGAGGAGCCAGATGGGCGCCGAGACTCGGGAAGGTGGAGTAACGTGTGGTGGCTCCGGTTACACACCTTACACCGTTCACCGCTTCGGCAATCGTGGCCGGAGTGTCGGTGAGCCAGGCAATTGGTGCAGTAGCTGAAGTGGAGGACAGCTTGGAGCCTCCTTTCGGAATCCAGGCGGAGAAAGCGGCGGCATTTCCGTAGAGGATGGATTTCAGAGCAGACTCGTGTAGTGTATTCATGCAGTGTGCTTGGCCTAACCAATTTAAGCACCACTCAAGGCCAAGTTGCAATATGATGCAGTTTCGGCGGCGGTCATTGTCACTGCCCAAAAGTGATGCGTCTGCATCTAAACCGTGAGAACCTTACGTAACGGGCATTGGGCAGGTACCACCGCTGACCGAAAGCTGACGCCTCATATTGCATATTGACTGTGGGAACCTTACGCAACAGGGCTTTGTTTCCCACGATAGAACACCTGCATGGAGGCAACTCGCCCCAACGATTTTGTATAAATATAAGCTTCATTTAAATAAAAATCAATCATAACAATTATAACATCCAAGCGTACTACATGGCGATCCTGCCAGGAGCAATAAGAAGATTCCAGGAGGAATCAGAAGATTCCAGGAGACTAAGAAAATAATTTTGTATTGGCATCAGCGGCGTTTATCGCCAGATACCAGTACAAAAATAAATAAAATATACAAGGCTTGACCTTGTCACGTCCCAAAATTTTGTTTGTCAACCAACAGGCGCAGGACGTTTGAAACAAAAACAACGTCCTTGCAAATCAATGACAGGATGACAGTGGCGCAGGACGTTTGAAACAAAAACAACGTCCTTGCAAATCAATGACAGGATGACAGTGACGATCAAATAAGAGGCAGCCCCTTATGTACTAGCTAGAAGCGAAACAAAACCAACAAGCAAAATATATAAAACCAAATATTCCTCACATGACGTCTGAAGCTGAGGTTCAATTCTTAACTGGGAGTCCATCAACCCAGAGAGACCCACCAAGAATAGAGGAAGTACTGGAACAGTACCCCGAGTCGGGCCCCAAGAGGCTCACAATTGAAGAATACAAGGCACGGCAGAAGAGAGCCGCACCACCACGAGAAATAACACCGCCCGGCAAAGCGGTACCAAAAGCAAAGAGAGGCGGAAAGAAGGCTCGCCTCATCAGAACTCGCCGGCTTTTAATTGAGTGCGAGAAGGCGGCAACCGGATCGCCCGACGACATACAGCGTTACCGAGAGCTGCTGGACGCCACCAAACTGGCGCTTCGCGATGCGAAGAAACGGCTGCTGGCCAAACAAACCAGCACCCTAAATTAATTCTTAAATTTATATATATATATAATATTTTTCCTTTTTATATGTATAAGTATTAAATAAAATGATAAAATAAAAATATTTCTAAAAAAAAAAAACAAATTTTAATTAAGAAAAAAAAAATTTTTTTTTAAATACTAAATATTAATAACTACAATGGGGAAAACGCAATCAAAAGTAGAAAACCCCAATGCCAATGTGGTGAACAAGATACAAATTGTTTGTCGTTGGAGGGTGGATGGAGATCGCTGGATCAAGGACAATATGTCCCAGAAAATGAAAATGAAAAGTCGGGGGCGTCAAATATAATGGGCGTGTATTTGCTGGTACAAGCTGAGGGTTGATGACGATTGTGTAAAGGCGCGTAGGTGTCGAGAGACTGTTCTCTCCCGCTCGGCCTACGGCTAGCGCCCGTGATGGAGCGCCGAGTGGATCGCGTCCACGCCGCGCGAGAGCGAAGGGCATGGGAGAGCGCGCGAGCTAACAGAGCGCTGTTAACCGCGCTGCTGCCCTAAACATCCTCCCCCCCCTTGCAGGACTGCAACATCACCTCCTATGGCTGCGTACAGGCCCCGGACACAATCCATCCGAAAACGGTGCTTTGGGCCACTGGAAGGCCGTCTCCTCGAGCAAGGAACCCGGGTTGGATCACCTTCTGGTAGACATCCGCTCCCAAGACGAGAGAGACGGTGGCCGGGCGATGGAAATGCTCATTGGCAAGGCTGATGTCGTTGAATCTGACCCGAGTCGCCTCGCTCAAGGGTCGCAGCGGCGTGCGGACGCGTAAGCGGGGCGCCAGTTTGAGGACCACGTCCAATTGGACATCGCCGGTCCTGGCGCGGATAATGGCTGTGGCCACCTTCTCCGCTCCGATGCGCGTGCTGGGCAACTTTAAATCGGCGGCCAAGGAAGCGTCAATGCAGCTCACAGGCGTGCATGGGTCGATGAGCGCCGTCGTCTCGTGGGTTTTCGTTCCCGTGTCCAAGACCACTCGGGCTGTCGGGAGGCAGTTGATGCTTCGGTGCTGCAACAGCGTATCGACCGATGGAGCCGGATGACCCACGATGGGTCGGCGATCGGCTCGGGACACTGGAGCTGGAGACGGACCTGGAGTCACGGCTGACGACTCCGAGCGGGCTGGGCGCTGAGAGGGCCACGTCTTTGGGCGTCTTGCGGGAACCCGTTGGCGGCGATCGGTGTGGGACATCGGAGCTGGAGACGGACCTGGAGTCGCGGCCGACGACTTTGAGCGGGCTGGCCGCCGGGAGGGCCCCGGCTTGGGGCGTCTTTCCGGAGAACGGGGGCGGCGATCGGCTCGGGACACCGGAGCTGGAGACGGAGCTGGAGACGGAGCTGGAGACGGAGCTGGAGACGGAGCTGGCGACTCCGAGCGGGCTGGGCGCTGGGACGGTCGCATGTGGAGCAGCGTGTGATGGTCCTTGTGGCACACCTTGCACCGGCCACCACTTCGGCAATCCTTGCCAGAGTGCTGATGAGCCAGGCAGTTTCGGCAGTATTTGTTGACCAGCACGGCTCGGAGCCTCTTCGCCACGCTCAGCTTGAGGAAGCTACGGCAGTCTCGTAGTGGATGGCTTCCGGAGCAGACTCGGCAGCGGTAGGTAGCTTGTACTCGGGAGCGTCTGCTCCCTGAGGTGTGATTGACACGGGATTGTGGAGCCATCAGGATCTGGATGAAAAATGAACTGGTTCGGAAAAGAAGAATCGGAGAAGCATTAGTAACGTGCTAGGAACAGGTGACAGGCACTTCTCTAAGTACTGTTGGAAGAACAAACTAGGGTTTTTGGAGGCGAAAAGAAACTTGGATGGAATAGTAGACACGGAGAGGCATTACTAAACGGGCTAGGCACAGGACGCCTTCCGTTATTGTTGTACGGGACGAGGGAGTTCCCCCGGAAGGAGAACGACTTTTGCGACCGGGCGTTTGAGCACACCGCGGGCAGTCAGAATGTCTACCACCCGAACCCTGTTATCGGCGCCGGGATACACGGACTGTACTCTTCCGAGTCGCCAGTCGTTAGAAGGCAGGTTATCTTCTTTCACGATAACCATATCGCCGATCTGAAGATTGGGCATATCCGTCTGCCACTTGTTGCGCTTGTGGAGTTCCTTGAGGTACTCATCCTTCCACCTCTGGCAGAACTGCTGGTTGAGGGCCTTCAAATGCTGCCACCGATTAATGATCGACTGGAGGTTCTCTTTAATTTCGGGCTCTGCGGTCGCCATTAACGGTCCTCCGATAAGGAAGTGCCCTGGAGTGAGGGCCAGCAACTCTGTCGGACTTTCGGACATAGGTGAGAGTGGCCTGGAATTTAGGCATGCTTCAATCTTAGCGAGCAGCGTCGAGAGCTCCTCAAAGGTATATTTCCGGGTGGACGTGGCTTTGTAGAAGAGCGTTTTAAAACTCTTTACGCCGGCTTCCCAAAGGCCCCCCATATGTGGAGCTCCTGGCGGGATGAAACGCCATGCAACCCGTTGATGGCTGTATGCCTCAGTCACCGAATCCTGGAACGCCTCTAGAAAGTCCCGAGAAAGTACAGTTGCTGCTCCCACGAAAGTTTTTCCATTGTCGGAATGGATACGCTGCGGACAACCTCGTCTAGCGACGAAGCGAGCGAAAGCTGCTAGAAACTTCTCGGTGGTCAGGTCGGAAGTAGCCTCCAAGTGAATGGCCTTCGTGGAAAAACATACAAATACGCACACATAACCCTTGGTGATCAGGCACGCTCTCCCGGTATAGTTCCTTATGTCGAAAGGACCTGCATAGTCAATACCGGTATGGGTAAACGGTCTGGAGAAAGAAGTTCGGTCTGTCGGGAGATCGCCCATCAGTTGGGTCTGTAGCTTCTTCTTGTGGATGATGCAGACCTTGCAGGAGTTCACCACGCCCTTCATCAGGTTCCGGATTCTCGGGATCCAATATTTGCAGCGAATGAGGCGCGTCATCAGTTGATTGCCGCCATGGAGAGTGATCCTGTGCGTGAAGTGAGCGAGCAGGCGAGACAGGCGGCAACTATAGGACAGGATGATTGGATGGCGCTCATCATACTTCAGATCTTGTGAAGCTGTGATCCGGCCACATGCTCTCATGATCCCCTGTCGGTCTAGAAAGGGGTTCAGATTCAAAATAGAGCTTGAACTTGGCACGGGACGTTTACCACTCAGGCAGTGAGATTCTTGGGGGAAGTCCCGACGCTGAGCCTCTAGGATAAGAGTTCGCTCCGCTTCGTTAATTTCCCCACTAGTGAGGTGGTCCCTACATGCGAGTGTTACTTTCCGGCAACACTGAATAAAACGTAGAACATATGCCCGCACTCGAAGAGCCTTCTCAAGCTGGGAGAATCGCTCCAGGAAATCTTCGGGTGGGCTGGAAACGAGATGGACCTTCACGGCCCGCTGCTCTAGGGTTTGAACTGGAGTTTCGGCGGCTTGGGCTGGCCATTGATCACGTGGAGATTGCAACCACGCTGGTCCATGCCACCAGAGTTGGCTACCCACCAGTTCTGGTAAAGCTACGCCTCGACTGGCTAAGTCAGCGGGGTTATGTTCGGAACGAACATGGGCCCAATGACTGGTTTCGGTAGTCTGAGCTATTTTCGTCACTCGATTGGCCACAAAGGTAGTCCAATGGCAAGCGGGCTTGCTCAACCAGGCCAGTACAATAGTAGAATCGGTCCAGTAGTAGCATTGATGACTTACCGTCGGCATGCTTGGCAGGATAGCCGTCGCCATTTCGGAAAGGAGCACTGCACCGCACAGCTCTAGTCGAGGAAGCGAAACGGTTTTCACGGGAGCGACTCGTGTTTTCGCCGACAGTAGATGCACCGTGATATGCTGGTCACACTCGACGCGCACGTAGAGCGCTGCACCGTACGCCTTTTCGGAGGCATCGCAGAAACCGTGATGTTCGATCTTTACCGATGGCTGGTAACATACCCATCTTGGAATCTTGATCTCGGGTAGTGATGCGTAACTTTGCAGAAAGTCCAGCCAGCGTTGGTACAACGAACTTGGAAGAGGTTCGTCCCATCCCAAATCTTGCAACCAGATCTCCTGCATAAAAATCTTGGACCGGACGATGAATGGGGCTAGCCACCCCGCGGGGTCAAACAGCTTCGCAATTTGGGAAAGAACTTCTCGCTTGGTGTAGGATAACTCAAGCGTGAACACGGGAGAAACAAAGAAGAACTCGTCTGACGCCGCCTTCCAGCGAACTCCGAGGGTCTTTGCCGTGCTCTCGGCATCGATTTCCAGAAAATCGGTGTGCAGGAGGTGGTCACTCGGAAGCTCGTCCAAAATCTCCTTTTGGTTGGACGTCCATTTGCGCAGTGGAAAACCTGCAGAGCTGAGGGCGGCCTGCAATTCGTGGATAGCCAGCTGAGCCTCCTTGATGGAGTCTGCCCCGGCTAGGACGTCGTCGACGTACATGAAATGCCGTACAATGTGGCTTGCCTTTGGAAATCGCGACTGGATGTCTTCGGCAAGCTGTTGCAGTACCCGGATGGCTAGAAACGGAGCGCAATTGACACCAAAGGTCACGGTTTTCAGCTCATAATCCCGAATCTCACCCTCCTGGTTTCGAAATAATATTCGCTGGAAGGGTGTGCAAGTTGGATGTACCCAAATTTGGCGGTACATCTTTGTAATGTCGGCGTTGAAGACGTATCGGAAGTAGCGCCACTTCAGGATTTGGAGGGTTAAATCGGATTGGAGGACCGGACCAGCATGAAGAAGATCATTTAAGCTCGTGCCGTTCGCAGAAGGGCTGGACGCGTTGAATACCACGCGGACTTTCGTGGTAGTGCTCTCCGGCTTGATTACCGCATGGTGCGGAAGATAATAATTGGCGGACTCGTTAGTGGACGGAACCTCTGTCATATGACCGAGATCTAAGTATTCCTGGATCACAGAGTTATATTGTTCTTGAAATGGAACGTTTCTCTTTAGCCGATTCTCATTTCGGAGAAACTGCGCTAGGGCAATGGACCTTGAATGCCCCAGGCCTGATCCACAATGATCGGGGTCACGAAACGGCAGTGTTACCACGTACTTTCCACTTGACGTTCTTGACGTGGTTCGCAGAAAATTTCTTTCGCAATAGGAGTCCGACTCTCCTGCTACCTTGATAGGTAGATCCTCCACCTCCCAAAACTTTGTGAGAAGTTTGTCCAATGGAGCATCGCGGACGTGGGAAATTTGGGTGGAGAAAGATGTAATCTGGTCTGGAACAGCACTTGGCACTGGACCGGTAAGCACCCATCCAAAGATGGTTTGCTGTCCGAGGAGGGAACCACAGATGTCGGTCTGTGAGCCGCTTAACAGTATGGACGGAAGGATGTCGGCTCCGATCAGAACGTCTATGTGTGAGCTCTCATAAAATTTAGGGTCTGCTAAAGGCATGTTCGGCAAGTCTCGCAACGCGCTCTGCGGGATCGGATATGAAGGGAGATTGCCGGCTATGTCGGGCAGGACGTAGGCCGTGGCGTTTAACTGTACGCTCGGCGTCATCAGGGAGCGAATGGACAAATCACAGAGCTTCTTGGATTGAGCTGCTACAGTCTGATTTAGGCCTGAAACCTGGGCCTGAATAAGGCGGAATGGCAGCTGGATGATATTAAAGAGACGTTCCGTAATGAACGTCGCCTCGGAGCCCGAGTCGATCAGAGCGCGGGCCCGGAAATTTGTCCCCCGGTGGCAGATGTTGATTATTGCCGTACCGAGAAGCACCGCTCTTGTTCCCGAAGCAAAATAGTTCTGAACGTTGGGCGGAGCGACGGAAGAAGCGGGATCCTCCGCTGTTGTGGAAGTCAGCTCGCTGGGAGCTGGAGTCCCCCGATGCAGGAGCGTGTGGTGGCGGGCTCCACAAGTGAAGCAACTGTGGGCGCTTTGGCATTCACGGAGCTGATGACCTCTAGCGAAACAGTTCAAGCACAGCTGCCTTTTTTTTATGCAGCTGGCTCGTGCATCCACAGTCATTTGTAGGAAGTGCGGACACAGTCGGATCGGATGGTTCTCTTTGGAACAGAGATCACACGTTCTTCTCTTCGGACTCACTTGTGTCTGGAAGGAGTGAAACTTCCTTGGCACGGGACTACCATGAGACCGAAACGGATTGGAGTTGCTTCCGGAGGATTGCGGATTCAAGGAACCTTTGGACGATGGTGGGGTCGGATTGCCTTTGGAAGTGGACGGGTCGCTCTCCATGGCCTCTAGCGTCAAATAGCGCTGAGTGAGGAAGGCATCGATTTCCGTCCATGGAGGCACCTCCTTCTTGTCTGTGACGGACGCCTCCCACAAAGACCGGGTCAACTTCGGCAACTTGGAGGCACAAATAGTAACGAGGAGGCTATCCCAGTTGTCGGTGCAGACCTTGGAGTGAGCAAGGGCGGTGAGGACCCCTTGCATCGTGCTTTGAAGCTCTTTTAAAGCTCGACTGGTCTCGGACTCGACGCGAGGCAAAAAGAGCAAAATATTTATCTGGTTGGTCACCAGGAGCCGATTATTTTCATAACGGTTTCGGAGGGCCGACCATGCCGACTCGAAACCATCGTTTGTGAGCGGGGACTTCTCGACTATGGCCTTCGGATCGCCACTTGTCTTCGCGGTGAGATGGTACAACTTCTCTACCGGAGACAGCCTAGAATTATTTATGTAGATTGCAGTAAATAAATCTCGAAAAGTAGGCCAACGGACGTAATCTCCTGCGAAGACCTCGATGTCGCAGGGAGGCAGTCGGCAGCCGCCCTGGTAGGTTTGCGGTGCAGACGGATGGACTGCTGTTTGGGCCAGCTGAGCATTGAGGTCGGCGAGGCACTGCTCAAATACCCCATAGCACTCGCCGTACTTCTCTCGGATGTCTTCTTGGACCCTTGGGTCCTCGTCAACCATCACTGCGGAGCAAGCTTTATATTCCGCCTCGACATCCGCCCACATACTCAGAATTTGTCCTCGGCGAACCTCGGAAAGAGATGCGGATGGAGCGGAAGTGATGCGCGCTTCCAAATGAGCCAGCCGGCCAATGGCGGCGGCTAATTTTGCTCGTGCCGTAGTGGTGGCGGGTTGAGCCATTGTGATGGAAGGTCTCGAGCTGACGGGACTATTACCGAAGGAACTGGTTGGATCGCCTTGGATCCGAGCTGGCACCTTGAGAGTGACGGGAGACGGGAAGAGAACCGACTTGGTCCTCGCAGCTGGGCTGCTACTGGCTGCTCTGGGAGTGACTGGCGACTTGATCTTTTGAGTGGGGGTAGTTCCTGAGGCGGAAGAGGTGCGTAGCCGACGTGGAGATGTCGCAGCCAAGAACCCTTTGCTGTCCTTGTCCCCCGTTGGCATACTACTCGCACACGCAGAGGTTGGATGCGAAGTCGGATGCGGAATCCGCGGATTGGCGAAAGAACAGAAAAAAAACTAAGGCTGGGCTGGGCACCACACGAGAAGGCACTAAATCCCTTCAACACACAAAAAAGAACCCACTGCTGGAGGAATGGAAAGGAAAGGGCCTCGCGCGATGTTGGACAACAATTTTTAATACCAACTCGAATTATTTGTGGCCGCTCTGGATCGAGGTTCCCAAACAATGAGTGGATCAAATTGATACACGCCGAGGAGAGGAACGGTCACACTGGCTGTGGCAATATTTGAAAAAACGAATATTGTTAGTGCGGCTTTCTTCCGTTTACCCTTTTGACGGACCCTTGCAGTGGGAAACTAATCTTCCTTATCTAGTGCGGATGGATTGTGGACGGAATTGGTCGATTTCTTGCTCCCCTTGTTATACCGTGGAGGTGGTAGGGCCGATCGGATACACGAGCACGAGGATCGGAGCTAAGAAATTAACTGCTACTGGTGTGGCGGAGACTATCGGAAGGAATATGCAAAAAAAATAATAATTCCTTATACAGCCGTCTGTTAGTGGAAGCGGAACAAACGTGGGACTATGTATTTTGGGTAATTCGGCAGCTTGAATTTATTTCTTGTCTTCAATTTGGTGTTTGTGATACCGATAGTTTTTCTTAAATTTTGTCACCTCTAATTTCCCACGGACATACAATTCGACAATTGGCACCAAAAAAATGCGAAATCGCGGCGGAAATGCGCTGTGCCTGGGTGAAGGATAATTTGTTACGGAATTGGAGATAATATCACGTATTGTGGCGACCAAAGTTATTGCTGAAACGCGTAAACGGCTCGGAATCGCAGATTTTTATTGTTAAATGTATGTGGATATGAGCGGAATGTATGTGTGGGACGCGGTATTTAAATACGGAGTGTGGTATTTTTGTATGTGCGTTATGTTATTTTTATATACATATGTATGGCTCCAACGATATAGATATAGATCGATCTATTGCAGCCAACTATGGAAATAATATGTGTATATAGATGTCGGAATAAAAACACTTAATAATTGTTGAGTGGGTTTTTAATATGTTAGCACTTGGATGTATGTATGTATGTGTATGTATTTATGGATGTATATATATATTTGTATGTTATTTTGGAGATGCGGAGCCGCTCTTGCGAATTGGAATGCACATATGTTTTAGTGAACTGGGGTGCAGTTGGATTTTGTCGAATATATTTAATTTTTCATAAATCATGCCCAGACAAAACGAAATGGAAGAACTACCGTAGCACTGGTAGTTGGAGGCGACGGAACGGAGAACGGCCGGAATCGCCGATAATATGGCGTTGGCGAAAGAGAAGGAAGCACAGAGAAGGATAGCACTGTATGCACAGATATGTATATAAGAATATATATACATATATATCGCGGAACTCGGACGTGGTGGGGAATAAATCAAAAAAACGCACTAGGAAGCGATTTGGGAAGACGAAATCGTACTTATCTTCGGAACGTAGCGATGTAATCCACCGATGCTTGCAGGTTGGACTCCTCCTTATAGGGAAGGCGAAGATCCGGCTCGAAGGACCAATGATTGTTGGAGGGTGGATGGAGGCTCGCTGGAATGTTCCCAAAGACAATATGTCCCAGTAAATGAAAAGTCGGGGGCGTCAAATATAATGGGCGTGTATTTGCTGGTACAAGCTGAGGGTTGATGACGATTGTGTAAAGGCGCGTAGGTGTCGAGAGACTGTTCTCTCCCGCTCGGCCTACGGCTAGCGCCCGTGATGGAGCGCCGAGTGGATCGCGTCCACGCCGCGCGAGAGCGAAGGGCATGGGAGAGCGCGCGAGCTAACAGAGCGCTGTTAACCGCGCTGCTGCCCTAAACATTGTTGATCACACAGATAGCATCAATGAATTCTGTTTTCTTCTGTTAATATTAGTAATCATGGCAGCAATAAATCTAATAATCAAAATTTACAACATGCATCATAGAAGCCTGAAAAAAAGGTATATGTCTCGCGCTGATGCACTAGATAAAATCTAGTTTAACTCTTGATAAAAATTCTGCAACCCAGCTACCACTCGGAATGGAATGGGAAACATTAAGACAAAAAATTAGAGACTTCAGGGTGGAATTTGATAAATCATATAAATGTCTAAATAAGACAAAGCGCATTAAGCGACAAAACGCTAATTAAGCATACTGAGATCGTTGTTCACAATTACAACGAAATCAAATGCTTAATAAAAGCAGCCCACCATAACCTTTCTGAACTCCATAACGGCCAGGTCACAGATGTTCTCAAACGGCTAACAGAGTGCCTTGAGAAGATTAACAAAAGACACCATTTGCATTTAGTGATACCAAGCGCGCTAAATAACCCAGCAGTTTTCACACGAGAACTGCTGCAAAATAGTTCAGATAGCGACGATAGTTCAGAAGGTGAAAAACCTTCAGGTTCAAATATGCCTCAAACTATAATAGAATTTCTTAATACAGCCAGCAAACTCATCCCAGAGTTTGACGGTAGGGGCAGAAAACCTACAAAGTTTTCTGGATGCCTTATCTTTGGTTAACACCATCAAAGGTGAACATGACGCCACAGCAGTGTCATTGGTAAAAACCAAACTTAAAGGTGCTGTTAGGAATTTAATTAGTACAGAATGCACACTTGTATCCATTATAAATAGACTTAAAACAAACGTAAAAGGCGAATCAATAGATACAATAACTGCCAAAATAATGAACATCCGTCAGATGAGTAAGACCGCTAACCAGTACACAAAAGAAATTGAGCAATTAACAAAAACTCTGGAATGCGCTTTTATTTCTGACGGAATGACCCATGAGCAGGCAGAAAAAATATAGTACCCAGCAGGCGGTCAAGGCAATGATTCAAAACTGCACCAATGATAAGGTCAAACTTATCATGCAGGCTGGAACTTTCTCGACCATGAGCGAAGCGGTAGCAAAATTCGTTACCAGTTGCACCGAAGCAACTGGACGAGCAGATACCGTAATGTACTATTCAAATAGGGGGTATCGTGGAAACAGAGGCCGTTTCCAGGGTACCCGAGGTCGTGGTAATAACCAGTTCCGCGGAAACTACAACGGTCGGTACAATAACGGTGGCTATTACCGAAACGGAAATAATCAACGAAATAATAGACGAGGAGGCCACCAAAATGTCCGCGTTGTAGATAGTACAGAAAATGCGGAAAACGCATAAACTCCCCCACAAAAATAAATAGCGCTAAAAAATCCATATTCGTGTTCAATTTACATTTCAATAGTTTTATATCAACAAAAACTTCACTAAACAATGCGGTATCAACGTTTTTGGTAGACACAGGGGCTGATATTTCAATTTTCAAAATTGGCGAAATTACAAATAATATACAAATAAATAATTCAATTACAACGAACCTCAATGGTATAGGGAAAGGAACAATTAATACGCTAGGAATAGTGGAGGCGGACTTGATATGCGGCAATATTTTAATAAAACATACTTTTCATCTTGTCAAAGATGACTTTCCAATCAATTGTACTGGAATTATTGGTTTAGACTTCATTAAAAAATATAATTGCATTCTAGATTACGAAGATAATCAAGATTGGTTAACTTTGAGACCACACGACTTTCACGAAGACATAGCCATTCCTATGCGAAATTCACAACATATAAATACAATAACAATTCCAGCTAGGTCCGAAGTTGTCCGTTTAATGAAAATATGCTCAGAACACAAAGAAGTTCTCATACCGAACCAGGAAATTCACAAAGGCATCTTCATTGCAAATACAATTACCACAAGCAAACAAGCTTTTGTCCGAATCATCAATACAACTGATAATAATTGCACAGTATCCGATGCAAATATTCAAACGGAAAACCTTGAGGATTATGAACTAATTAACAATAAAAACATAAAAATAAACAAAAATAAAGAAATTATGGAAAAACTTAATACGAATTTTCCGAAATTTATAAAAAAGGAAATGAATACCCTCTGTTCTGAATACGTTGATATATTTGCATTGGAGAGTGAACCACTAACAGTAAACAACTTTTACAAACAGGAATTAAAACTATTAAACGATGAGCCGGTTTACATAAAAAACTATCGAATACCCCATAGCCAAAAAGACGAAATAAATATTCAAATAAAGAAACTTATAAAAGATGCCATAATAGAGCCCTCAGTATCAGCATACAACAGCCCATTGCTATTAGTACTAAAAAAATCACTACCAGGAAAAACTCAAAAACGTGGGATGGTAGTTGATTATAGGGGGATAAAAAAAAAACAAAAGCCGATAAGTTCCCACTGCCCAGAATAGATGATATTTTGGACCAGTTGGGAAGATCAAAATATTTCTCCTGTTTAGATTTAACATCTGGTTTCCACCAAATTGAACTAGAGAAAAAGTCAAGAAATGTCACATCTTTTACGGCAGATAACGGAACATATAGATTCAAAAGATTGCCTTACGGCCTCAAAATAGCCCCAAACTCATTCCAAAGAATGATGACCATGGCATTTGCAGGATTATCACCTGCACAGGCATTCCTATACATGGACGACTTGGTCGTATTAGGCTGTTCCGAAGAACACATGTTAAAAAACCTTAGAGATGTGTTCACTATCTGCAGAAAATACAATCTAAAGTTGCACCCAGACAAATGTTTATTTTTTAGTCACGAAGTAACATACTTAGGCCATAAATGCACAGACAAAGGAATATTGCCAGACGACACTAAGTTCACATTAATTCAAAACTACCCAACACCAACATCAGCAGACGAAACAAAAAGGTTTGTTGCATTTTGTAACTACTATAGAAGATTTATTCCAAATTTTGCAGAGCAAGCTCGTAATTTAACAAGATTAAGTAGAAAAAATACACCCTTTATATGGACGAAAGAGTGCAACACAGCTTTCAATTTTCTTAAAAATGCTCTTATAAGCCCTCAAATCTTACAATACCCAGATTTTGCTTAACAACAGATGCCAGCGGTTTCGCATGTGGAGCAGTACTAAGCCAAGAGTACGATGGTAAGCAATTACCAGTTGCATATGCATCTAAGGCATTCACAAAAGGCGAATCCAATAAATCAACAATAAAAAAAGAATTAGCAGCAATTCACTGGGCTATAACATATTTCAGACCATACCTATACGGTACAAAATTCCTGGTGAAAACAGATCATCGCCCATTAACATACCTATTTTCAATGAAAAACCCGTCGTCTAAGTTAAAACGAATGCGATTAGATTTAGAAGAATATGATTTTGTGGTGGAGTACATAGCAGGAAAAGAAAACTATGTAGCGGATGCGCTATCCCGCATAGAAATATCAGATTTGAAAAACTTAACTGCCAAGGCAGCCCAAATACTTAAAGTAACAACACGGTCAGAAGCCGAAAAAGTAAAAACAAACAACGACGGAAGGAAAGTCTTAAGGTTCGGGGCCAAAAATATATGAAGGGCTACTCAGAAAGTAGTAAAACGACATTATTGAGCTTATACTGCCCTTCGAATTTTAGAATAAAAAAAGGGAAATTTTACAATTTTTTTGCCACATTTGCTAGTGAATGACATAACTGTTTATTAACTAACATGAGACTTGGACATGTTCCATTCAAGAGTCTTACTTTAGAAGCGGGTAATCTGGCGCACTGAACGCGGCAGAGTGTGCTTAGCGAGAAGGAAAATGAGTTGTGTTGTACGCCGCGGGAGGGGAAGGTGAAGCAACTGAAAATTAAAAACCTTCATTCAGGCATAACAATGTCCGATCTGACTTCAGAAACGGCAGTCTTGCAAGACAAAAAATCGATCGATACAATATTAATATAGTTTCATCGTACCTTTAACAATGTGCCTGGGCCACCAGGAGTCTTTCGTCTTTTGTGGGGGCGAAGGGGGTGGGGAGAAATTCACTGGAAAAACATGAGCAGAGGGATATCAAAAAAGTTGGAAACCAAATTTGGTGACAAATGTCTTGAAGAACAAAACTCTCAAACACAACAAAGACAGAAATGACAGATAGACTGCAACGCCAGCAAAAGCACATGGCTAGATCGACTCGGCTATTGATGCTGATCAAGGTCAGAATACTTAATGGGTGAATACGTTTCATTCTCTGCGTTGACAAACACCCTATTAATACCATCCCTAACATCTAAACTAGCCAGTATACCCTTAACTCTTCTTAGTACGGGTATAAAGGACACTCTTAACGGATATGGGACTGAGTATAAGAACAGCATTTTTTCCAAAATTGAAGCGTTATTAAAAAAAAGATAGTACAACGACATGTCGAGCTCATTCGGACCCTTCCGAATTACTATTCAAAAAGGCACAAACGAACATGTAGCCAACTAGTATGAATGACCTGATTATTAGTGAAGAAAATTGACTTGGGACGAATGCTAAAGGGTACTTTAGAAGCTCAATTCAACGCCGTCAACAGTACATTACAATTGCCCTTAGAGACTGGATTTTGTAAAAAACCCACGTAAGAATTTAAAGAAATGGGAAGTATAGACCTTACACACATAAGCAATTGCGATAAGGCCAAGTAAAATACAGACTTGCAAGATAGAAACGAGTCGATCAAAATATTATAGAACAAT